TGCTGGTTCCTAATCCGTCTCCACAACACACTAATGCATTGTTCCTATTAATCCATCATGATGCAGCAAGTGAAAGGCCCAGCCAGGTCCCACCACAAACTGTTATCTGGCTCCAAACAATGAGAGCTGAGTGCCAGCTTCCTTCTCCAAAGTGAAGCAAGGAGAGACAATAATATCCCAGCGTAGGCAGCTTAGCACCATCTGCACTGTCTGGCCAGCTGCATGGCCTCATGCCTTCCCCACCACTGCAGACACGTGCTCACACTCCCCAAAGTGTTTTCCTTACCCACCTGACACCAGCCCCTGAACAATGGTTGAATGTGACTGATGGTTTGGACCATACAGCAGACATTTTCTGCCCTGAAGAATCTGCCAAGAACAAGCATTAAGTTCAAAAATGTACATTTTTGCTCTTTCCTATCTTGTAAAAAAAACTGGACTTGATTTTTTTCTTTTGTCCAGTGTTTCCCAGCAGAATCAGCAGTTTCAGGTCAGCTCAGCAGCATCACCAGCCCCAGCCTGCTGTCAGCAGGAGAAGCTTTACTTTAGAAGCGCAGAGGCTGGAGAGAACTTGAAAGCGCTTCATTGTAGAATACAAAAACCACCCCACAAACCTGAGCATCAGTATCAACACTAGCAACAACAAAGCAAGCCATCGTGTACAACTCTGACAGGTAACCTTACTTCTAAGTTTGAAATAATTTGTTTGAGGATGGAAAACGGGAACCAAATACAGCAGGAAAAGGCTGTAGGGAGACTGCAATAGTCTAATTCCTGTTCAGCAAACCATGCCATCCACATACTGTTATTTCCACAGACTTCAGGATGTCAGCACAGAGGAGCTGGATGGCTTTTTTCCCTGCAAGGTTCTCCGAAGACAAAGAGAGGAAAGCAAGAAGACACAGCCCAGCCTCTAATGCAGCTCTGCTGGCTGCTCCCAGATGGGTTCCCAAACCTCCCAGCAGGATGCTGTAGTGCATTATCAGCAAGGCACAACTTTCGATGTACATTAATGAGAAACACTGCTGCGCTACCAATTTGTCTGGCTTGGTGTTGGCAGTGTTTCTAGGTTGGAAATCCCATAGTTCACATAACTGGTCTATTCACCCCGCTGCTTAATCTGTCTTCACTTGAGGAGATGAACTCCATATATAAACATGCAGTGCTGTATGTAAACAGCCCCCAGGCCCACGGACAGCAAGAATTAAGCTTTGCATATGTGTGTATACACGTATATGTGTGTGTGCTTGGGAAAGAGGCTGCTATTTGTTCATTTATTATACTACTCTGAATTGTAAAATGGAAAGTATCTGAACCCCAGGCTGGGCTCCAACCTCAGAGATAAACCCTGAGCAGAGGGGCTGCCAGGGGCAGACTCACAGGCAGCAGGATCCTGCGCTGCTTGTTGTGGTTGGCAGGTCAGCAGAGATTTCGCTCTAAAACAAGATTAGGAAAAAAAAAAACCAAAAAAACCCCACCCCAATAAGCCCAGAGATTCATCCTGAGTTCTGGAGCAAAAGATTAAGGGAGGAGTACAGGCTGTGGGAAACACAGCTCCTCGGCACAGAGCCCCTCCAGAGGGCACAGCCCCTTACACACGGCTCAAGCTGTTTCCCATAAAGAAATGACAACAGGGAAGATCATGTTTTCCTGCTCTGCATTTACAGAATTTGCCAATTTAAATGAAAACAAATCCCCTCAGTTCAGTTGAGGTCTTTTTCATGCTTTTTGTTGGTGGTTCAATTATTAGTTAGCACAAGCTTCCCTCAAAAATGTCAGAAACTATCAATAAAGGGAAAAAAAAAAAAACACCCTAAAAGCTAAAAGTGGGAGGGAGGGAAATCCCACATGCATCAGGGATCAGAATTCATCTAGGTCACCAGAAACACAACCGGCTGCAAAACCCTGAAAACCCTGCTGGTCGTCGGCTGAGGGAGGCAACTCTGGCTGTGCAGTGTGTGCAGAGCACATACATCTCATCTTTCCCCACCATGAAAACTAAGGGAGGAAATGGATGAGAAACTCCAAATTTGGCAATTCTAAATACTTCACATTTCAGAGGGGGAGTTACTGCAGGCTGCACACAGAGATGGGGCAGGAGTTTGTCAGCAACTCAAGTGACACTTCTGCTGCTGTTCAGGGACTGAGGGAAGCAGCATTTTTTCCTTCAGAATTTGAGTTTCCTTAATGAAGTTTACTGTGTCAGGCTTGAAAGGGATTTATTTTTACGCTGTTCTGCAGACAGAAGTCTATGAAACAGCTCCAGAAAGGACCAGCTCACTGTCCCAGCAGTACCATCATGCCAAGCCCTTGCTCTAGGAGCAAAAAAAAAAAAAGTCCTTCAAAACATTATAAACCACAGCTTAATGGCCCAGTAGGCAGAGAACTTCAGGAACTGCATGTGCCCATCCCCTTTTACACAGCACAAAACTACATTCTAGACACTGGGCATGCATTGGACCAACGTTCATTAGTCTCTTACAGTTGCTCTGCCTTAACACAAACCCCAGTGCAAACCATGCAGACTAAGAGCCCTAATACACAAAGCGTGGCCCTGCTGTGTTCTCTGGGCTTACTAACCCACCCAACTCCTGAATACTACCAGCAAGGAAGGCTCTTTTGCAGCAGGATGCTTGTCAGGAGCAAGGGGTACAAGAACTGCCAAAATCAGTCGCAACCAATTTGTTCCTGAGTGCCTCCAAACAGCCTTCCAAGAGCTCCAGTGGAGCAAAGGGGACCTGGAGGCAACTGAACAAACAAAACGGTCACAAGCAGCTTCCTGCCTGCCTCTCCCTGTCCCTTCCCAAGACAAAGGCTGCACCCCAATCGCATGCACGCACTGCTTAACCCACGCTTACTAAGATCTAAGCATCAGCAGTAGGAGCCCAGTGCACGCTGGAAAAGTTGAAAAGCAAGTAGCTGGGCTCAGAGGCCACAGTAATACAAAATCCTGCTAGGAAGCTGGGAGAAGCTGGCTCTGCTCCAGGAAGCCTGGCTGGAAATGAGACCTTTCCACAACTTGCAGCACAGCCAAGCCCTAAGCAGCACCCAGGGAGAGCAGGCGGAGGCAGCATGGGCTTTCTGTTGAACCCAAATCATTTGTTTCAAAATAACCAGCCCAGCCAGAGGGGGAAAAGTGCAGCTTCTGTCCTAAGGATTCCACAGCATGTTTTAGTGCTTTGCAAAGAAGAATCTAGAAGCAAACAACCAATTTGCCAGCTCACGTGCACCCAGGAAGATCTGTAGCAGTCCACTGTGACCTGTCTGTAGGCTACCAAGTGTCATTCAACTCAGATGCATTACTTCAATTCTGGTGAGCATGTCATATCTAGAGCATAAGGAGTGAATTGTCCAATCTGCCCAGCCCCATCCATCACAGAAGATCGTAAAGCCCCCCCTGCACAAGGCAGTTTCTGCCAGAGCAGAAGGCGTCAGCTGCTTCAGCAGCACAGTCCAACTGCAAATGGAGGAAGCTGCAAAAGCAGGAGAAATTACATGGGAGTTTTTCCTCCAAGAACTCAAAAAAAAAAAAAAAAACCAACCCCAAAACCACTAACATTTTTTCCAAACTACCAGGACCCCACTACTATAAGAAAGAAGGCTGGGGTTTTAAGTACCCTCTTGCAATTGTTATCCAACTGCTATATATGCTGGCTACACACATTCCCAACACATGTTCTAATGGATAACCATCATACCAAAGCCCTGCAGTTCAGTGGCAGATTCTGTTTTCCTACCTTGGAAGCTGCTGTACTTCCCTCTCTTTGCCTCATTCCTCAGGGACATTGTGCCATACATGTCCCAGTACCTGGCTCTGTTGCTCACCACCAGAGCAGCGCTTCCCATCTCAGGAGCCTCCTGCTCTCACAGCTGTGTGCCCAGGAGGGGCTCAGCCCTGGCTGTCACCCCACTGCTCCCGTGTCCCAGACTCCCTCTGGAAACCCAACACTCAGGGTAAAACCAGGATCAGATTCTCAAAGGAGGGCAGCACACCTGCCCACCATATGGGCACAGAGGGATTAATTACAGCTGCACCAGGGGACAGAGTATTCATAACCTGAGCCAGGGCACTGATGAGTGGATCATCACTGAGGAGTGATCATCTGATCTGAGGCACTGAGGAGGATCATCAATGATACAAAGGGATACGCAGTTAGTGTAGCTTGACCCACCCATGGGGCTGTAACTCTCCATCTCATTAACTCCTGTCTGAGGTCCGCTGTCAGCTAATTCAGAGCAGCCTCAGCAATGAGGGTTTCCAATTTAGAGCGGTTTTCTTCCCAAGGCCACAAGGAGCCAAACTTCCACCTGCGTCCTCCATCATTGTGTGAGGGATCAGCCAGGAGACAGTGGTGACCCTTGGGGAAGGGCAGAGACATTTTGCACGCACAGCCATGTCAGTACCTAAGGAGATTCAGCTGAGGTTACCCAAGTCTAACTGGAGCTGTCTAGAAGTAAGAAACACTAATTCAATTTCCCAGTGCAAATATACATCCACCACAGAGAAGAGGTTTGCATTAACCATTAGGGAGTTTCAGATATAAAGAGAATTCCCTGCAGCCTTTCCATCAGGTCATTAAGAAACTTCTTATTCTTACAACTGAACAACTGAGATGCTGTTTCTGCATTGGATGTCCTACGATTTTTTTAAATTTATTTTTTAATACAAAGTGACTTTCCAGATGTCCTTAGAGACATTCCTCAAAAACCTCCCTGTCTCGGGAGATCTGGATTCAATCCCAGCTCCCACACCAACTCCTCTGACCTGGAACAGGTCTGCTGCCTTGCTGTTGATCAGCAAGTTCTTTACAGGTCTCAGCGGTGCTGCAAAGGTTAATTATCTAAGGCCATACGTGTTAGGAAAGAAGGGTATGATCTACACGTCCACCAGATGGTTTAGACATCAGATTTTCAGGACAGTCTAAGATCTTACTATTATGTCAGTGAAAAATATTCAGAGAAAATATGTTTAAAAAAAAAATCTTAATTCAGATACTTACTTAAAGACTGACCCATTTTTCTCTAATTCACGTGGATATGCTTATCAGTCAAATAAGCAGCAATGCAAGGAACCTAAAATGAAAAATCAACAGACATGTAGTGAATAAGGCAGACATCAAAAAACTTTGTGAGTGTTCCAGAGACACTGAGCATATCTGCCTTCTATCCTTGTTCATCAGCAAAGGTCCTGCTGTTGCTTCTTTGCAGCAAAGCCTCTGCTCAGAGGTGGGAGTATTGCCATGGATTTCAGGGGGTCAAGAAAGTCCTCCAGATGGGAAACTCTTTGCTACTCATGTCACGTACTTTGATGAATGGATATCCTGCAGCAGTAAGTCTGGGCAGACCCGTTCTGCTTCAAATGGCTAAGAGGGCTATACACCCCCAGAAATCAGAGTAATTTACATCTAGGTCGCTCGGATGCCCTGTGACTTCAGTATTACAGCCCTCTTAGGAGCAGGGCTTCAAACTAAGTAGTGGCTTTGCTTTCCTGCATGCACGTGGCCTGCAGGCAAACCACAGCGACAGCCTGCTATCCGGGGCAGTCAGACTGTACTGCGCTGATTCCAGTAACGAGAATCACAGATGTCACAGCTAAAATCTAATCAGTCCACCAAAATAAGGAGAAAAAGCGTCTTTGTTTCTCTGGACTAACCTCACCATTTCACATAGGAAAGGCAAGGCAGGAGATGCATGCACCCAATATTCATGTCTTTTCTCCTATCTTACAAAACCTACACAATTTGGATGGAAGCTTGGACTGAGTTCAGTAATCTGTGGTTTGCAATCCCTGAGAACATTTCCAGCAGTGGTGCAGTTTGGTGAGCATGTGTGATCACAAACATGGTCCCATCCTTAGCCCTGCTCTACAGCAGCTGCCAGCATCTACCTCCAGGCCAGGTATTGCTAGTGAGTGCTCCGCTTCCCTCCCTTCCTTCCCTCTCCCTCGCTCACCACCACCAAGACTTTTTGTCCTGTTTTGTTTCCTACCACCCTGTCAGTTCTGTGCTTGTTTCCTATGCGGGATGGAGGCAGGAGCCCAGGCCAGCACATCACAGCAATGCTTAATTAATTGCAACTACTCTAACAGAGGCTACAATTTGGGCTGTTCAGCCAGACACATGCACTCTGGAAATAATGGTTCCAAATCACTTCTCTGATTTAGCGAGCTGTCAAGGTCCTGGCTGTTCTTTAGTACATTAAAGCTGAGAGCATAGCATGGTTTTTAAATCAGTCTGTGATGCATGCTATGGGTTAGTACAGCACGTAACACTTTATCTAGAGCAACATAACCCAAAAGAGCTTTTCAGTTTACAAGTGTAAGCTACTATTGCCTGAAGGGGAGTATTAAATGCATTAGAGCTGACTCAGAGGCAGGTCCTTATCCACAGTGCCAGCCACCCACTGGCAAAGACATGATCTCTATACGTTCAGTGTACGTAGGTAGAAGGAGTGCAGCTGACTGTGGTGGATCCAGCACACTCCCTTGCTACTACACAGAAACAACTTCATTAAAACTGTACAGAAAGCAAAATATCAGAATCATTGCAGTAATTTAGCACTCGAACCCCATTTATTTACAAGGTGGATTTAGTACCCCAAGGCACATTAGGGAGCAACTGCATAACCAATGAATATACAGATGTTATCATTAAGAAATACATGAGAGAGTTTGGCTAAGCAGGTTATTACACCAAAAAAGAATAGAGGGCTTACCCTTGTCCTGGGCTCACTGGCCAAAATGCCAAAAGGAGGGATCTCCAGAAAGAGATCCTTCCCCTCTGGTAGTCAGCTCTTAAATGGGGTCTAGGAGATGTGGAGCCAAGCTCCACCCCTTCCAGCAGCACGGGTGAATTGCCTTCAGCTGTGCTCCTAGGGCTCACCTCAGGTGATCCATCAGTGGTTCAGGCTGTGATTCAGCAGGTCCCATACAGCAACGTTCTGGTTCCTCTTGACATCTAACCACCAGTTAAAGAAATGAAGAGCCGGTCACAAGCAGACTTTACATATCAGGAGCTCCAAGGTCACTGAATGATCCAAAATAATATATTCCTTTGAAAAAGTCTTGTCTGTCTTCACAGTTTTTGGATTAAAACCTCATTCCAATTATATCATCACCAAGACAGACTGGTGCTTTTATCTGCAGCCAATATCCATATCAATAGACATGCTACTTGTAGAATTAAGCCAAAGCTAGTTAGCAACTTCGCTGTGCTCTTCATCTCATACAATTTCAAAGTAGCCTACAAAAGCTGCTAAGAGCTACCAGAATTAGCATTCAATGGAAAAAAATAAGTTGCAAGAGCTGTATGACTTGCCCAAATTCACATACTGGATAACCATAAGATTTAGACTGTAAACTATAAAAAAAGGCCAGGTAAAAATGGCATGAATGCTTTTTATTTTACAAGTGCTAGACAATCCTACCAGCAAGCCTTTAAGATTAATTAGCTACAGATGTAACAATTTATAAGTATCTCCAAGTGGTTAAGTGACATCACATGTGTGATCTGCATGAAAGAAACTGGAAGGAAAAAAACCCGATTCCTATGTCCTTCAGAGAATTGGTTTGGTAAGCATGAAAGTACAAAGGCCTTGCTGACTGATGACCAAGCTGCGCAAAGTCATGGTCACACAGATTCACTTTCAGAATCAGTTTCTTAAGGACTGACATTGCAGCAGGGGGAGAGCTTGTTTGAGGAGGGGGAAAGGTATGGCTCTGGTGTGGGTGAGCAGTTCCCCTATGTCTATGCTTTGCAGAGGGAATTTGCTTTTCTAAGTCTTCAAGGATAGGACTTGGAAGCAGCACATCAGTGAAGAAAGCATCCTGATCTCAGGCACAGGTGAAGAGCTGGGGCTGCTGCTTCCCCAGTGAGGAAGCACTGGGAAGGACAGCTCTAACAAGGTTAGGAGTTCCTAGGAAAGTAATAGCAAGGAGCTGGAGCTTTCACTTCATTTTGCACCACTGCTATTCCCAGAAATGGTGATAACATCATACATTAAACGACTAGTGTCTTCTGACCACACATTCCCAAGTATCAGGTCAGTATCACCTTGGGCTGAAGCAGGCAGCTGATAAAACACCATTTGGCAAGCAGGGCACTATCTGAGGATGGAGCAAAGGTCTGGTGCGTGCTCCAGGAATCTGAGGGATTTTCTGGAAAAGGCAGGTCTCAGTGAGGTGGGGCAGCAGCACTCAGCACAGCCCTTTGGCTGCCCATCTGGAGACCTGCATTTCTATCCACTCAGGTCAGAGGCAAAATGAGTTCAGCAGCCTCATTCCTCCCAAACACAGTCAGTACAACATGACACAATTCAGTACGACGGATCGCTCTCCTGGGCCAAAGCCCAGAGCTGAGAGCAGACAGAGTGCAGGTGATGACCACAACATCCTTGAGCAGCCCATGGCCGGGGCAGAACTCTGTGTGAACTTGGGGAGCCCAGCATGGGTGACAGCAGGATGGAAGGGAGGAAGGACACGCAGGCACAGCATCTTCCTACACCTGGCATCCTGGCCATCACTCGTCCCTGGGAAACTAAATCCAGCCTGCAGCTATTGCTGCAGGTGGGGAACACTGTGTAGCCTCTGAGCACATTGCATGGGATTCCAGATCAAGTTGTCCTTAAATTCACAGAACGAGTACAGAAAGGACCCTTTGTCCTCTCATCTCTCCAGGAAACTTTTCACGTTTTGCTGTTGTTTTTCTTTCAAATACTATGCACCACCAAACAGTTTCGGTTCCAGGCAGCTTTTTCTTTCTGAAAGAAAATGCACAATTTGAGTTTTCCGTAAGACCAGATCTCCTGTAGGCTTTGAGGATGAGGAAGGGAGGTTCTGGGACTTCAAAAATGAAACTGCATCCCTCCAAAATCACCTCCAAGGTGATTTTTCACCAGCTGTGTGGCTCTTCTAGGAAGTTTGGGGGAGTCACCATGAAGAGCTACAGGAAATTACAGCAGAAGACACAGATATCCAGAGAAGGTAACTTGAAACTCAACAGCTGGAAGAGCTGTACTTTCTGTGCCAAATTGTGAAAAAAAAAAGCAGAAACAAACAGGAAAACCAGTAAGAGGCTCAGCAAGTAGTTCCATTTACCATTTTTCATATAATGAATACTACTGAAAAACAAAAAAGAATACCTTACTTGTGCCCAGTTGTGTCTGCGTCTCATGAATGTGTCTGGATTGCTCACAACTCAAAGTGAGCCTCATCTCATGCTCAAACCCATTATTGCTGGATTATTCTGGGAAAGCCACTCACCAACACTATCCTCCTCCTGTGACACAGACAAAGCAGCTCTGGAAGATAAAGCTGAGGCCATCAAGAGCATGTTCCTAAAGATACACAGGTGATGGAATGTGCCATTTCACCTCACATAGTCCTTGTCCTCCTAGGCTCACTCCCTAGGACTCAAGACAAGTCCCGAATGTAACTGATGGATAAAGTCTCATGGCAGCCTGCACAGCAGCTGTTGCACACATTGGGAAATCAGGGCACAATGCTCAGCTGAGCCCAGCTCCACACTGAATTACTGAAGAACCCATCATCCAGGCTGGACAAGGGGCCGTGATGTCCTGCAGGGCAGCACCCCATTTCCACAGTCCTCCAGTCTGAGAATTTGCACCTTCAGCAGAGCTCAAGAGTGATGCAAGAGGCATCAGTTGAGTAGCATCAGAAAATAATGCTATCGCTCCTCTTTCCTGAGTAATGGCAGGGAATGACAAAAAAGAGCTGATTATTTAAAATATCATTTGTTCTGCAGCACTATTGCTAAAGCATCTGGAGCAGGCACTGTTCTATTAATGGATGAGGTCTTTCTGAACACCACCACCATTACCCTTCCCCTCTCCCTCCCCCCCCCCCCCCCCCAAAAAAAAAAGGAAGAAATAGAGACAAAACAAGAGGAATAGAGATGGAGGAGGGCTCAAAGGAAGCATCCATTTCAGATCAGAGTAGAAAGCTGTCTGTGAGTAGGACAAAAAGCAGATATGAGAAATCATCAAAGCCTATTCATGAGCATGACCGTCCCTCCTCGGGTCTCTTCCTCAGTCTGCCTCCAGCCATCCCTGGAGAATGCAAGAACACATCCCAGCCTGCACAGCAATTGCACTAGGGCTCTAAGGTTATTTTTATGATAGAGTCATTACAGCTCTTGTGACTCACTGACTTGTAATGATGGAAGTATGTTGTTTGATCTGTGCAGACCCAAGCATCCAAAGAAGAAAAAAAATAGGGACCCTGGGGAAAAAACATTAAGTCCCGCTGAAAACAACAAGGCAAAAGGAAGATGGGTCAGCAGAGCAGAGCCTGGTGCTGACCTACACTCACAGTGCCAGTTCTGCCCTTGGAATGCAATTTTCACAGCTCCATGCTGTCCACGGTTTCTCAGGGCCCTTTACAGTGCTGCTCTGAGGCAGTTACTGCATAGAGGTGCATCAGAGATTGCCAGAGCTGGCTTTCCTGGACAGAAAGGGTAACAGGAGGCAGCTGATAAGAAGGACAGCCAGAGTGAACCCCAGGATGCTGCTGTCCGTACAAATACCAGGGCAGGCTCAAAGTACTGCATGTAACTTCCAAGTGACTTTTCTATATGAGAAGAGGCAGTGACATCACATGCACTTCATCCACAGCATGACTTGAAGGCTGATTTTCTAATGTCGGCACGAAGAAGCCATCCAGTGACTTAGGCCACTGCAGCTTTTTCTTTGATACCACAGAAGCACCCAGGGTTAAACCCAGAGCAATGAATTTCCCTGGTCTTTCACTCTTCTTCACTCATACAAAGGTGCAAAGCACAGCTGCCCTGGTTTCTGCTCCGTATAAATCATATGGCCGGGGAGCAAGGATCATTTTGACAATGAATACTTTTGAGTTGCTATTTCTGTTCCTTTGTTTGTCCAGACACAAAAACTCAGCCCTTTGTAGTTCCCAGATCACAACGTCTGTGTTGCATGAGATCATGTTTGTGGTTTTGGACATATTTTCTTTTTTTAAACAGCACCTATTGAATTCCCTCAACTCAGCACTTCCCTTCCTCTTGCCCTCAGTTGATGAAATAACATCAAACAGAGCCTGGGGGCAGCACATAAACATGTCCCATGTGTTTTTAGAAGGCCAGATGAGGCAGCTTGCTCTGCATGGTAGCTTTTCAGGTGGGTAAGTGGAGGACAGAGCACCTGGCAAAAGCAGCCCAGGGCAGCTGGGATAGAGGTAGGAACCAAGAAGTGAGCAGCAGAAGAGAGAAGTTCTGAAAGAGTTGGCAATAACAGCAAGGACAAATAGGATAAGACTTCATCTAGGCAAAGATAATGAATTCCTTGCTTTGTACATCACAGTAATCTGTCAAGAGATAACACTAGGCAAGGAATAACATCAGCAGGCTGGGAACACAAAGCAGAAGAAGCTCCAGCTCTTTCTCTTTCAGGTAGCTTTGAAGAAAGGGCACAGAGATGCCCTGGGCAGCATGGTGTCAGGAGCAGAGGTTCTGTCCCAAACACATATGTTCACGGCCACCCTCCTGAAGCCATGGGAGAGCTAAATGCTCAGACAGCCTTGAAGACCAAGGGCTGGTTGGGATGGGACTGGGAGGCTCTCCCAGTGCTGACACAGCAGAGGTGCAGGGCAGCAAGCCAAAGCAATACTTAGTGTGCAGCTGAATGTACAGAAAAATGGCTTTTAGAAAGACAGAGGCTAATTCACTCAGACAAATCTCTGATTTCCTGGCCTTCCCACAGCTAGATTTTTCAAGAGGAAAGGGGGTCATAAAGCAGTGAAGGAACAGAAATCTCATCTCTGGATGCCAGCTCACATCCTCCCCATTGGACCATAAATACCATAGCCTCCAAATACAGCATGCAAACAGGAAAACATTAAATCATGATATCCAATTAGCAGTCTCCATCCAACATGTTCTTAATGAACATTTCTCATCAGCATCTCCCCCTGTACAAGCAGGG